AATATGTAATAATACAAAATTTAACAATAATAATTCATATATAGAACCTAATCCCAGGAAGGCTCTTAAGACAGCACAAGGCAGAATTATCACTCAACTTAACTGATGAATCAAACGATAGAAAGTACACATTCCAAGATCATTTAACAAAACACACACACACACACACACACACACACACACACACAACTCCCAGACCCATACACACAATCTCACATAGAGGATAGTATAGAACAATTAATATATCTTTAAACTTTTCTTAAAACTCTCTCTTATGTTATGACACACTTTTCTTTTGGGAAAAAATTCCACATTTTCTTTACATATATGTTGTTGTTGTTGTTGTTGTTATCGATCCAGCAACAGCTGGGCTCTCGCCCTTCTGTCCAATGCCATGTAGTGATAAGTGCAGGTTTGCTGCAGTTGCTGTAATGTTCCATAGAGTGTGTTGTCAATGTTAGGTCTCGGAGGGAGAAGGGTACTTTACATATATAAGCTCTTCCACACAGGCCTATCTGATATTTATAAATTATACAATCACACATTGGTACAACCCCCCCCCCCCCACCCCACTCTCTCTCCATTCATTCCTATGAGAGTACTCATATATATAACATCATCCATACATCATAATCTCTTTTTTTTTTTAAAGAACAGTCATCAAAGCGAAAAACATTGGGTATTGCCCTCTCAAGATCAATTCAAGTTCACTTGCAGCCAATTTGGAACAGACCAGACAATCTTCCTTTGTCAAAATCTCAACATTGCATAACTGCTTTTTAAAACTATACATCACTTTTAATGACATGGGGGGAAAATGTCCCTCTTTTTCCCCCCTCTCCAATTTCCACAAAACATTAGTCGTCTTTTTTTATTTCCCAAAGTAAATTTAGAGGTGGTTGGCAGCGGCTCTGGTGTGGTGTGTTGCTTCTTTCCTATCAAACATCTATCTTTAGTGTCTCTCCTTTTTTATTTCTTTACATGTAATATATAATATGTTGCTCTCTAGATCTTTTCTCTTCTGCATTTGTTTCACATATTTGTGTCCGGAGAGCTGTTAAACCTCTAAACTAAAACAAAACAAAAAAACAAAACAAATTTCTCACCCTTTTCTTCTGGACTCCGACTCTGGCTATCTCCCTCCTCCTCATCTTCCTCTTCTTCCTCTCCTTCATCGTCACTGACATCACCATCCTCATCCGTCTCCTCCAAGTCATCGTCATCATCTTCGTCCTCACTAACTTCGTCGGACGCCATGGCAACATCAGCGTTGTCATTGTTCACAGACGTGGCAGCTTCAGTAGCAGCGAGGGGAGCCGTGCGTCTGCCTTTCGCCGAAACTTTGGGCTCAGCACTCTCCTCCTCATCCTCAGACTCTTCACTACCTTCATCATCTGAATCATCCGAACTTTCACTTTCGTCCTCTCCGTTTTCCTCATCCCCCGCACCATCCTCGTTCAGCTTCTGTACAGCTTCCTCCTTCTGTCCATCATTTTGTTTTGAATCGGCACCAACATTGTCAACTACAGCAAAGGGGGAAAGAAAAATATTAATTTAGCAAATCAAATTAATCATTAATAATACATGTGGCATCGTAGAGAAATCAGGCACTTGTCGAAATAATTAAATCAAATCAAAGAAAGCGACATTCTCCCAACTGTCGGGTAGTTTTTATGATTTTAAAAAATTTCAGGGCCCAACACCTTAGTATCCACTGAATAACACATTCCTGTGTGGATTTTACTCAAAAAACGATGATCAAAGGCAAAAAAACACACGTAAATATCCAATTTCCAAGAACACTCAAGCTTTGGTAGTCACCAATCTTGAAAGTCACTTTCTCACTAATTTTATCTCTGACACCTGGCCAGGTGACCCCCATCTCCTTCAATCACAAATATCTCGAAAAGGCGGGAATTTCTTTTTCATCAAAAACCAGAAACAATGAGTCTTAAGAAAATATGAATAACTCCATGCCATATGCGCAAAAATTAGGACAAAAATTGACTAGCGCTTGATTAAACCATGTCATGACACATATTCTTCTTAGAAGTCGCATATTTACTCTTTACCCTCTAAACAACACACAGTCACCAACATTGTTACTGGGTGCTCTCGAGGCCTAAAGGTTAAGGTGTTGGCCTCTCATTCAAAGGTCACAGGTTCGAATCCGGGTAGCAACAGAAAAATTTCCTTCTCTAAAATTGTCTCCTTTTCACTTCCTCTCCTGCTAGCTAGTCGTCTGCTTTCGTTTCCAGTTTCTGCCCCCACTCCCCCACCTTATTTGTCCCCCTTCCTGACCTTCTGGTAGGAAAGATCTACACCTAGCCTTCTCGGACATGGTAGAAAAATCTCGGAGGGCCTGTGTGCAAATTGCGAACATTAAAGATCCCTTGGTGGTCTAAAATCGAAAAGAGTAGGCTTCGGCCGCCACCCGGGCAAAATTCAAAATTTCCTACCAACTGAAAAAGTTTAATGTGTCCTGCGTGTTCATATGACCTTATTCAGTTGCGAACGCCGTGAAACACTTAACCAAATAAAAAAAGCCATTAAAAAAAACACATTGTTACCAGTCTCCTCTCTGGTCACTCATCAGCCTTATTTTTATATCAGGCAGATATAGTTTCTCACTGCCACAAATCACCAAAACTCATAATGAATAGATCAGCTTTTCTGAGACAGTTATGCAATTTCCCCAGTCATCATAACGAAGTAAAATTTCTTTGAATATCATATAATCAACACTCAGGCGTTTTCAATAATATGATGAGCTAATATCTTACAACCCGAGAATATGGTAGTTTACAAATAAGCAATACTAACGCCCCCATCCCCTCATTAAAGCATCACTATCAAGTAAACTTTCAGCAAACGCGCCCAGTGCAAGTCTTACAAAAACGTGTGTGACCTATGCGCCCAAAACCCAAAGATACAAGAATGTTGACAATAAAAGTACTATGGGTTTTCATTCCAGTATAAGAATTACAAAATTATTTTACCCTCTCCGAATTTGCTGATGTCAAAGTCGCTGTCATCCTCACTGTCCTCATAGCTACCAAAGTTCACTTGTACCAAACTGTGGGCCACAGGTTTCACTCGACGTTTTCTTGGATCTCTTTCACCTGGAGAACAAAAATCAATGTATCCTCTTTAAACATTTAACGTTTTGAATAACAATAATAATATAGATATTGTAAGGAAAAAGCATTTTTTTTCCTTAGACTTAGACCTACCAAACATCAGAGTGAAAACAAAGCTCTAAAGACTTGTTCATTTAAGATGAGGAGATAGGATGGATTGTTCTCACCTTTGAAAGGGTTTAAACTTTTCTCTTCTTAATTTCTAACCGGACTTCCAATTAATCAATGATTAAAATTGTCTCCCTCGTCAATTAGCGGGTTTCGACTACCTAAGATAGCTTTAATCCTTTGTTGTTTGAAACTTACTAGATTTTCAATTTTTTCACTGCTTTGAGCTCAGATTGACGTTTGTGTTTATCGTGTTAGATTTAGTAGTTCAGACGGCTGCCATTATTCCCACCCCGGGAGGGAATAAGATTTTCTCTTATTCCCACCCCTCATCATCATCATTGCCTTTCTCACCCTGCACCAGGGTATAGGCCACGGACAAACACCCTCCACTTTTCTCTATCCTGGGCTAGCCTCTTGATGTTATTCCATGTCTTCCCACTTTTCCCACGCCTCAGAGGGGATTAAAAAATATTTTACTCTTTTATTTTTACTAAGATGTGTGCGACACGTGGGACGCTCAATGTTAAAAACAATCAGGAAACGACAAATGCAGTTTTTGGGACACATGAATAGACATAAGGGTCTTGAACATCTAGCTCTCACTGGCAAAATTAAGGGCAAGCGAGGCAGGGGTAGGCCTAGAACAACATACTTAGGGAACCTTCTAAACAAATGGGTAACAGGGAAAAATCAGGGAAACGTAGCTTTTCTGAGAGCATCCGAGCAAAGGAATGAATGGAAAATCATGATCGCCGATGTCTGTCGCAGATCTGGCACTGGATGATGATGAAGGTGTGTGCGCTCTTGTGTTCAAGATTTAGTTTTACTTTCATTCATATTTTGGGCCTTTTTCTTAGCTTTCAATGATTTGAGATTGATTTGATATGACAGAAAGCATTCAAAAGCAAAAAATGACATTTTTCCCCTTAGCATTAGCACTCTCGTTTGAATGTTTACTTTTAGACATTTTACAGAGCTCGCAACTGCATAAATGTCATATGAGCGCTAGAAGATTAGAGGCGTTACAAGAGAGTAACAAACATAAAAAAGAAGAAGGGGAAATAAGGACGATAGATGTTTGATAGGAAAGAAGGAGCAAACCACACCAGAGCACCTGCCAACCGCCCACTGGTTTTAATGTTCTCAATATTTCCAGACCCAATATCAAATTGTAGAGGCGTACTAGATCTACCAAAGACTGTGTATACCCCAAAATGCGTCTAATTGTCACCCCAGGTTTTTAGAGCTGGGCCTTCAGCCTGTATTACATCTAAAAATTTGAACTAGAATCTAGATCTAGATAGATAAGAAAGATGAGAAGTGACCCGACCTGGGTGGGAATAAAAAAACATTCAGGTGATTTTGTAGTTTCGTTCGATTAAGTCCAAAGCTGTTCAACGCCAGAGACCCTGAATTGACAGAAAATCAAAATTCAAGAAAAAGAAGGGCGCTTTTTCGGCAGTTCCCACCCACCCCCATTATTATTCGCCCATTTGGGCGGGCTCCATGAGGCCCCCTTGACCTAATAAAAATATGGAGGGGTGGAAAGGTGGAGTGGGGGGGTGGAGGGGTCAGGGGTGGAGCAGGGGTTCAGGATGCCCCCCTGAATTTTACCATAATTCGATATTTAGCAGTTAGGTTGCATCCCTGTTCTTTATGGTGCCTATTTGATCATCAAGACGTCGGGATTTCTTCTCTGGATGTAAACAAATCAACAAATGGGTGGTGGACTTTAACTTTAACGAACGGAACTACAAGAGCACCAAAATTATTCCCACCCCGTACTCACTTCCATTTCAGATTTTGCAACAGAACTGTTGTACTTTTGACGTCACTAGATCTAGATCTAGAGATCTATAATACTTTTCATAATGGAAGTGGCTATCCTCACCTGCGGTGAGAATAAAAATACGATCGACCTCTCACCCCGGGTGAGACTTGCCACTGTTGGCGTTGGCT